TATCAATCTTTTCTAGGAAATTCTTGAAAAACCTTATAAGCTTAGATTTGAATTCTATATCCAGTCGCTTTTTGTCCTCATTTCTTTCGTTTGTGATCTATTTCGTTGTCGCATTTTCGCAGCTTCCCTGATGGGGCAGGGTTTCAGGGTGGAGCCTACAGCTTTGGCTTCCGTCAGCCCCGCCCTGTGCGGCTCCTGCATCTCAGGGTCCTTCAGTACTCCTTGCAAGCACCGCTGAGAGAAAGGTGCCCTCGATTTTCGCCTGCTACCAAACAGTCTTGGCTCTCCCCCAATGAGCCCGGTATTGGGGTTCAGTTCAGTTGGAAGTGGAGTTGGAGGTGGCGTTCAGAGCAGTCTGGAGCCCCTGTCTCCTTCCCGCCAGGGCAATCCTGCGGCACAGCCAACCGTCCCTTCTCTGTGCGCAATGTGCGCGCCGCCGGGACCTCCTTTTGCCGCTCCCCTGGGTTCTGCCTCACAGCCTGGGTCCCCAGGATCTGGCCTAGAACTGGGGTTCAGAGCAGTCGGAACTGGGGCCCAGCACAGTCAAAGCTTTTATCTGCTTCCTGCTAGGGAACGCCAGCCAGGCACTCAGCCGCCCCCCTCTCCGTGTGCGCGCTGTCCGTCTCCGTACCTTAGGCTTTTACAGCTCCTCCGCTCTTCCTTCTGGCCTTCTCCTTGCTTCTCGTAGAATTTCCAGTAGGTCGACTTTCCTGTGGTTCTGGGTAACGTCCATTTTATATTTTAGTTGTATCTTATTGAAATTGTTGTGTGCGGCTACGGTTCAGCCATCTTGGATTCTCCCCTGCTAGGTCTTATTTTCGGAGGATGTCTTATTCTCGGGGAAACACGGTATCAGGCATCTGCCAGAATGACTGAGGAGCAGTTGCCTTTTGGTGTGGAGCTGGAGAAGGAATCTGGAGCTTTAACTCTTTCTCAGCTCTTATTCAATTCTTATTTTCTTACCTCCCTCTTTCCCCCAGTTCCAGAGTACCTGGTGCTGGTAATTTCCAAACCATTTGAAGACTGCTATAAACAAGGCTGATTCTCTCTTCTTTTTTTTTTAAAAAACCTTTATTGTTCATATTATTACAAAAGTTCCTCATTTTTTCCCCCCTCCACCAGGTTCCCACCTCACCCTCTGCCCTTTCCCCACCCCCCACTGTCCTCATCCATAGGTGCACAGTTTATGTTCAGTCTCTTCCCGCACCCCCACTTCTCTTTTCCCTGAGAATCATCAGTCCACTCCCCTTCCATACCTCTGATTTTATTATATTCAACAGTTAATATTATTCATCAGGTTTTTTAATTCCCTTGGTTTTTAGATTCACTTATTGATAGTTATGTATTTGTTGTTCATATTTTTATCTTTATTTTCTTTCTCTTCCGAAAGAACCTCCTTCAGCAATTCATATAATTCTGGTTTGGCGGTGATGAATTCCTTTAGCTTTTTTTTTATTTGTGAAGCTCTTTATCTGGCCTTCGATTCTGAGTGATAGCTTTGCTGAGTAGATTATTTTTGGCTGTAGGTTCTTGCTCTTCATCACCTTGAATATTTCTTGCCATTCCCATCTGGCCTGCATGGTTTCTGTTGAGAAATCAGCTGACAATCATATGGGTGCTCCTTTATAGGTAACTACCCGTTTCTCTCTTGCTGCTTTTAATATTCTCTCTTTGTCTTTTGCTCTTGGGATTTTAATTATGATGTGTCTTGGTGTGGTCCTCTTTGGATTCCTTTTGTTTGGAGTTCTGTGCGCTTCCTGGACTTGTAAGTCTAATTCTTTCACCAGGTGGGGGAAGTTTTCTGTCACTATTTCTTTCAGTATGTTTTCGGTATCTTGCTCTCTCTCTTTTCTGGGACCCCCATAATTCTGATGTTGGTTCGCTTGAAATTGTCCCAGAGGCTTCTTACATTATCTTCAACTTTCTGGATTCTCTTCTTGCTTCTGCAGAGGAGTATCTTCTGGCTCTTTATGTTCAAAATCTTTGACTTGATTCTTACGATCTTCCATTCTGTTTTTAGGACTCTGTATAATATTTTTTATTTCAGACAATGTGTTCTTTATTTCTTATTGATCCCTTATTATTTCTAGTTGATCCCTTTTCATATTCTCATAGGTCTTATCAACCTTTTCTAGGAAATTCTTGAGAAACTTTATAATTGTGGTTTTGAACTCTATATCCAGTCGCTTTTTGTCCTCCATTTCTTTCGTTTGTGATCTGTTTCCTTGTCTCGGCATTTTTGCAGCTTCCCTGAGTTGGTAGCCTTAAAAGTCTCTGTGTTCAGCTTGGATGGAGCGGAGTTTCAGGGTGGAGCCTACAGCCTTGGCTCCCATCAGCCACGCCCTATGAGGCTCCTGAGTCTCAGTATTTCTCAGGTCCTTCAGTACTCCTTGCAAGTACCTCTGAGAGAAAGGAGCCCTCGAGTTTCGCCTGCTACCAAACAGTCTTAGCTCTTCCCCAATGAGCCCGGAACTGGAATTCAGTTGGAAGTGGGGTTGGAAGTCGGGTTCAGAGCAGTCTGGAGCTTTTGTCTCCTTCCCGCTAGGGTAATCAGTGGCACAGTCAACCGCCCGTTCTCTGCACGAAATGTGCGCGCCTCCGGGACTTCCCTTTGCCGCTGCCTTGGATTTCCCTCTGTATGAGCCTGTGTCCCTGGGGTCTGGCCTAGAACTGGGGTTCAGAGCAATCGAAACGGGCTCAGCACAGTCCAGAGCTTTTGTCTCCTTCCCACTAGGGCAATCTAGCAGCAGAGTCAACGGTCCATCCTCTGTGTGTAATGTGCGCGCCTCCGGGGGCTCTGCCATTCGCCGCTCTCCTGAGATTCCGCCTAACAGCCCAGGCTCCCTCTGTATGAGCCTCGGTTCCCAGGGTCTGGCCTAGAACTGGGGTTCAGTGCTGTCGGATCTGGGGTTCAGCAGAGTCCGGAGCTTTTATCTCCTTCCTGCTAGGGAACGCCAGCCAGGCATTCAGCCTCCCCCTCCTCTCCGGCTCCGTCCTCTTCGCGCGCGCAACATGTCTCCATACCTTAGGCTTTTCAGCTCCTCTGATTTTCCTTCTGGTTTTCTCTTTCCTTCTCGTTGTAGAATTTCCAGTCAGGCGACTTTCCTGTAGTTCTGGGTAATGTCCATTTTGTATTTTATTGAAATTGTTGTGTGAGGCTGTAGTTAGATGTTACTTATGCTGCCATCTTGGATTCTCCTTTTTTTCTTTTTTTAAAATGTATTTTATTGAATTTTTACAGAGAGGAAGAGAGGGATAGAGAATTAGAAACATCAATGAGAGAGAATCATCGATCAGATGCCTCTTGCACAATCCCTACTGGGAATGTCCCCGAAACCAAGATACATGCCCTTGACCAGAATCAAACCTAGGACCTTTCAGTCCGCAAGCTGACTCTACCCACTAAGCCTAACCGGTTTCAGCTGATTCTCTTTTCTCCATCTGTTTTCCTGCTTTCAAAATGTTGCTTTTGTCACCTCTACTGTTTTCCCTTCCCCATCCTTGTGGGTTTATATCTTTATAATTTTATATACATTTATATTTTTTATTTATATTTATATATAAATATAGAGGCCCCCAAAAAATAATAATAAAAAATAAAAATTAAAATAAAATAAAATAAATATAGAGGCCCAGTGCACAAATTTGTGCACAGGTGGAGTCCCTCAGCCTGGTTGGCAATCAGGGCCAATTGGGGGAGCTGGCTGGCTGGGGGGAAGGACTGTGGGAGGTTGGCCAGCAGCAGGAGGTTGGCTGTGGGAGCACACCCACCACCAGGGGGCACCTCCTGTGTTGTGTGTCTTCCCCTGGTGGTCAGTGCATGTCATAGCAACTGTTGTTCAGTCATTCTGTCATTTAGGCTTTTATATAGATAAATATCTTGATTATAGTTTTATTGGGGATTTTGGGGAGAAAATTAGTTGTGATGTACTTTCTGTCATCTTAACTTGGAATTCTCAATTTTTAAAATGGCAACTCCTGGTGTATTTTTGGAGGTCATAAGTGATATGTTCTTATTTATAGATAACTTAGGATATAGGAAAAGTATAAGATAGTTAAACATCACTAATTCTACCAAATAGAAGAAACTTGTTAACATTTTGATATACCTCCAATCTGTTTTCTAGATTTGTATATTTATATATATATATATCATTATTTATATTATTGATTTCAGAGAGGAAGGGGGAGAAAGAGAGAGCAAAAATGAGCAAAAATAATTGATTGGCTGCCTCCTGCACACTCCCCACTGAGGATCAAGCTTGCAGCCTGAGCATGTGCCCTGACCGGAAATCGGACTGTGACCTCCTGGTTCATAGGCCGATGCTCAGCCACTGAGCCATGCCAGCCAGGCTCACATTTTTTCACAATTAGAATCATATAGTGTTTTAGTATTGTTTCCTTCTTTCTTCACCTAATTAAATCATTTTTCAAGGTCAGAACATAATCTTTGAAAACATTACTAATGGGTCTATAACATAACTATTATTTTACACTATTCAACATGAGCAATTTCCCATGTCACAACCTAATTTTTAAAAACAAAATTTCTGTGCATACTTCAGCAGCACATATACTGAAATTGGAACAATACAAAGAAAATTAGCATGGCCCCTGTGCAAAGATGGCATGCAAAATTCATGAAGCATTCCATATTTAAAAAAATTTTTTAATGGGTTTATAACATGGCTGTCATATGACATTGTCATGATTTATTTATCTAGTCTATTGATAAAGATTATATTTTTTTTCTCATTTAAATTAGGCTGTAAACTTCAGGAAGTCAGCATAAGTCTGTTTTGTTCATGATTCTCTCCTCAGTGCTTAAACCAGTATATTAAAGTGGTTTAGAGAATGTTCTGTTAAGTAAATGAACAGTTTTGCACAAAAGTCAGATTGCTTCCTTAAGTTAAAATTTAAAATGGGCTCTTACGGGGGTAAAAGGTATAAACTTTTTGAAGGTTCTTGATAGTTTATTTTCCATTTGTTCTTTGACTCAGAATAAGAAACAAGGATGCAATAACGAGGAGGTACTGGCTGTACTAGGCCATGAACTGGGGCATTGGAAGTTGGGGCACACAGTCAAAAATATCATCATTAGCCAGGTAAGTTTGGAAAGACAACTCTCTTTTTATGGCATGGTAGTCAAATTTGAAGTATGGCAGGTATGAGAGACATATAGGAGAGAGGTTAAGACAGACTCTATATCCTGGCCACCTGGCTTAACATCAAGGCTCCCTGACTCGCTACATGTGTGACCTCAGGCAGTTTCCTGAACCTGTCTGCCACCATTTGTTTTTTGAATGATAACACCTCAAAGGACTAATACAAGAATCAGATGAGTTAATATATGTTTATAGAAGTACCTGAAAATTGGTAAGTGCTATAAAGTATTTATGGTTATCACCATCGTCATCACTCTCTCCTGATTCACCAAACTGTGGGAGCTGTAAGAGCAAAAGAAGTGAGCCCGCCGAAACCGGTTTGGCTCCGGTTTGGCTCGGTGGATAGAGCATTGGCCTGCAGACTGGAAGGTCCCAGGTTCTATTCCTGTCAAGGGGACGTACTTTGGTTACGGGCACATCCCCAGAGGGGCGTGTGCAGGAGGTAGCTGATCGATGTTTCTCTCTCATCAGTGTTTCTGGCTTTCTAATCCTTCTCCCTTCTTCTCTGTAAAAAAATCAATAAAATATATATATATATATATTTTTTTTAAGTGACCCCAAAGAGGTTGGACATTAAAATGCTTTTATAAAAACATTTTTTTCTCATTAAAAGGCATTATACATCTATTGATAAGACATTGGAAAACGTAGTGAATATAAAGAAGAAAGTAGCAGTTCCTGAAACATTCCTCCTTTGGGTATGAATGCCTCTAAAGCCAGAGTGGCCACACGTTTGCAGGCTCTGGCGGAAACAGCACTGCATCTTGTTGACTAGAGCCGAGCATGTATGGGCTTCACTGAGTCTTAAGTGGGACTTTGTACCTTTCTAAAAGCCACCTGGTTCTGGATGATGAATTATATGGGAAGATTTATTAATAAGAATCCTGTAGGCACTTCCCTGTTGTCTTAACATCTATAGGTATAAAAATGAGTTCCTTGTATGGATACACATCAGTGAGTAAGACTTTAAATAAATCCAAATTCAGTCTAATCAGAAAAATCAAACCCTTTTTCATGAAAGTAGGGGTCCAATGGAATCAGTTTACCTCATGTGAGGTTGTGGGCTGGTCCCTCAGGTGTGGTACTGGGGCTGGGGTTGACTGCCTCCCCTGAGATTGGGCACCTGGCAGGAGCCGGTGGGGATGTCTTATGTTGTTGACTACTGCACTGACTCCATCCCTATCGCCTTGGCTGTTTTGTTCATGAGTCCCTCAGCCAAGTTCTTGAGTGACAAAGCAGGCATCTTCTCCACCTGATCAGTGAGAGCTTCCTCTTGTGGGACTCTCGGTGAACATTCACCTTAGACCACTGAATTAACACACTCAGTACTAATTTTGGAAGTTTTCCCACATCCCTTTTTTCCAAATCTTCTTAGCCATCCTCTAGTTCAGTGGTCGGCAAATGCTACTCGCAAGCCACACGCAGCTCTTTGGCCCCTTGAGTGTTCTAACACCACTTCTTCAAAATAGACTGCCCAGGCCGAAAACCGACTTCTGCACGTGGGCCACTTCGAAGTTTCAGTCACACTGTACGCGCGCGCCCGCCCGCACGTGCTATTGTGTGGAAGAGCCACACTCACGGGGCCGCTTATGGCTCAGGAGCCTCGGTTTGCCGACCACGGCTCTAGTTCGTTCCGAGGCCCGATCATCCAGCCAAACCATTAGCTGTCTGCTGCTAGCGAGTCAGCATATGTATCGCCTCAGCTTAGACCCTCTCCCCCTCTGCTTCCAGACTGGGTGAACGGTGATATAAACTACTTACAGTTCCTCTGAAGAGTATCTCCTTTTATTTTATTTATTTATTTTGTTAATCCTCACCCAAGAATATTTTTCCATTGATTTTTAGGGGGGGGGACACAGAGAGGAAATATTGATGTGAAAGAAACACATCGATTGGTTGCCCCCTGCACGAGGCCTGACCAGGGCCCAGGCTGGGGAGGAGCATGCAACCAAAGTATGTGCCCTTGACTGGAATTGAACCCGGGACCCTTTGGTCCGCAGGCCGTCACTCTATCCACTGAGCCATACCAGCTAGGGCACGCTAATACCATTCTTAAATTCACACCATGATGTCTTTTTTTTTTTTTTTTTTTTTTTAATATATTTTATTGATTTTTCACAGAGAGGAAGAGAGAGGGATAGAGAGTTAGAAACGTCGATGAGAGAGAATCATCGACCAGCTGCCTCTTGCACACCCCCTACTGGAGATGTGTCTGCAACCAAGGTACATGCCCTTGACCGGAATCGAACCTGGGACCTTTCAGTCCGCAGACCGACGCTCTACCACTGAGCCAAACCGGTGCCGGCCACACCATGATGTCTTATTGTACTTTTTGGTACTGCAGTGAAATGGGCTTAGTAATAACTTAGAAATTTTGTGTCCTAGATGAATTCTTTCCTGTGTTTCTTCTTGTTTGCTGTATTGATTGGTCGAAAGGAGCTTTTTGCTGCATTTGGTTTTTTTGACAGCCAGCCCACTCTAATTGGACTATTGATCATCTTCCAGTTTATTTTTTCACCTTACAATGAGGTAAGTATAATCTTTAAAATTATCTCACATATGCCCTTGCCTCTTTCAAATCTAGAAACCCCTATGGTAGTAAAAAACTCACAAAAACTATCGTTTTTAACAAGGAAATGAAACAAAGTCTTTTAATCCCTTGATTTCTTGACGAGTATAAAACAGTAGCAGAAAACCCAAGCCCAAATAAATAAATAAAAAAGCTTGCATACAGCTAAGGGAAAAAAGTAAAGAATTAGACTTTAGAGCAGGATTGTTGGGAAGTATGTAAAATGCCCGGCAAATAGCAGATTTTTAAAAATTAGTATTTTTTGGTAAGGGTCATTTGGATGTATATCTCTATTTGCTTGGGGGCGAGGGGGACCCAGTATGTAATAATTCCCTCATCCTAGGTCCCCTAAGTAATAGTGATCTTGCTTGGGCCTGCTGTTTCTCTCATCTTGAGCGGAACTTCCTCTGCAGTCTGAGCTCTTGAAACCTTCAGGGACAACAAAGAAGTGGGCAGTGGTTAAAACGCTTTTATTTTTTTTTTCAGGTTCTTTCTTTTTGCCTCACAGTGCTGAGCCGGAGATTTGAGTTTCAAGCTGATGCATTTGCCAAGAAACTTGGAAAGGCTGAAGACTTATATTCTGCTTTAATCAAACTCAACAAAGATAACTTGGGATTCCCCGTTTCTGACTGGCTCTTTTCCATGTGGCATTATTCCCACCCTCCACTAATAGAGAGACTTCAAGCTCTGAAAGATTCTAAACAAGACTGAGTTGCCCAGCTTCTGCAACCGACGGCATTTCTAATTATTTCTGTCCTGACAGCATGTTTCCGGCTCTTGATGTTTTTAAACTTTTCTTTGTAAAGAAAACTATGAAGTACAGAAAAGTCCAGATTTAAATATATTTAATCCCATTTCAAAAATTATTTTAATCCATTTCTCAATGAAAACACTGGATGGAGATTTAAGGCTTGTACTTTATCTTTAACATTGAATTTATCATCAAGTTGTAGAAAAAAATTTTAAGTGAATTTTTAGATAGAGCAAGAAACCCTGATTTGTTGTTATTTGCGCATAAATTGGTTGATTCCTGTATGTGCCCTGACTGGGGATCAAACCTGCAACCTTGGCTTATGGGGATGATGCTCGAACCAACTGAGCTACCTGGCCAAGGCCATTAATTTGTAAATTTTTTGAGCCATTTAAAGCTTTTGGGGGCATATACTTAAAAAAGAGGACATACCACCTCTGAGTCCTATCTGTAATACAGAAACTGCTTTCGAAGCACTGCGCTTATACCCAAGTTGAGACGTTTTTACTTTCATGCTACTACGATTTAACCTGGCCAATCAGTGTTTTAAATAGGAAGAAAGATAATAATTGGTAAGACTGATGTTGTTTAAATGAAAGTAGTTAGAAATATGCCCTACAATTCCACCAAATTTCTCTGTTCCCTCTCTTGCTACACATTGATCAAGAATTTCCAATAGTGCTTTGAAATTAGAAATTATGTGTAGAATGCTTCAGATCATTGGGTTTAACTTTTGTTTTTAAGAAAATCTTAGTTCTTTATTTTTCCTTCCACCTGGTGAGTATGATCAGACCCATTAGCAGTAAAGTAGTATTTTTCAGAACATTCAGCTTTTTCCTCATTCATGCTCTTTTATTCAATAGGTGGTATATTCTTTCACGTGGCAGAAATTGCCATATTGAACAGATTTTGCTATTTTTTAAAATGACAGAATGTGGAAAGAAGAGAAATAATATTTTAAGAGACGTAAGGGTGAAAATGCTGATTCTCTTATGATATTATAGGAAAAAATATAGTTTTCTATCTCAAGGACAGAAGAGTTTTGGTTTTTATTTTTATAATTTTTATTGGTAAGTTGTAAGTACTATTTAATCGAGCCTGTTTCCATTTTTTAAAATTACACTTCTTGATATGCAGATAATTTTTCATTTTTAAAACAAATGTCACAAAAGATTTTAAGTTTAAAAAGCTGCATGTTTGACTGCTTGAAATCTCTGTACACTTTCTGTATGAGAACTTTGTGGCTGAACTGCCACCCACGACTAATGCTTACCTCTGGGCATTTATTCCAAAGTGGGATCAACTGTGCACCCTTGGTATCTGGCCAGAAAGTCTTTGCTCAGCTCATAACTGAGTGACGTCTGGGTTAGTACAGCATTATTTATTCCCCAAGGCTAGAGGAACAGTCCTGTGGTTCTATCCAGCTTTGTCGTGGACCCATGCTGTGTTAACTGCCTTTCCTCCCTCTGTGCCTTTAAACACAGATTTTAGTTCTGCACAAGTGAGACATTAAAAATCGTCAATTACAGATTGATGTGCTTTGTCTTCGATTTAACAAAATTTGTGCATCATTTGTCACCTCGCTGTGTTTATATAGAGAACGGAGTTGCTAAGGATACAAAGAATAATGGGAAGAAACAGCCCTGATGCTGAGTGACGTGGACGCATCAGCATGCCTCGCGCACACAGGCGTCTTCAGAGTGCCTCCTGCTGACTGGTGTGTCAGCGCCACAGTTGTTGCTGGTGTTCCGACTGCGTCGTTCGGAGCCATTCCTCCTCCGCTGTCACGGCTCCCGGTTGTCGTGAGCCTGTGTGGTCTGCTCCAGCTGCCTCTTCGGTCTCCTATGTAGCCGTAGTTAGCTTTAATTGTGTGTAATTAGTATGTAATTGTTTTCATCTAGTCACCTACGATGTATGGATGGCAGAGGCAAAGGGGTGGCCAGAGTCTCCTGGTAGCTTCCTGAGTTTCGCCCAATTAGGGGAAGGAGTAGGGAGGCCAACCAAAGAGGGAAGGAGGTAGCAATTTGCATCCCCTGGTGGGTCTGCAGGGGCAGAATGGAGTAGAGCAAGGCCTTAGCTTTGAATTAAGGTAGAGGCAGCCATTTGTATATATTTGGCCCTTTACTGACAGAGCTGCTAGTAAATTCTTTTTTTTAAAATTTAATATATTTTATTGATTTTTTAGAGAGAAAGAGAGGGATTGAGAGTTAGAAACATCAATGAGAATCATCGATCAGCTGCCTCTTGCACAACCCCCACTGGGGATATGCCCACAACCAAGGTACATGCCCAAGCTTGGAATCGAACCTGGGACCTTTCAGTTCGCAGGCCGATGCTCTATCCACTGAGCCAAACCGGTTTCGGCGCTGCTAGTAAATTCTACCTCTGTTTAGGACAGAGCAAAATCCCAGGGGTTTAGTGGCTTTAGTACCAATGTCGGCCCCACCTTGCCCTTTATATTCTGATTGTCATCCCGTTCCTTTATGTAGCATTTCCCTCGCTGAGGAAGCCTTTCTTTGGTCTTTTTCATCAGTCCTCTGGATTCTTTTGTGCATGTATACTTTCTGTAGCTTTGACTTTTTTGAGTGCTCTGTCGTCATTAGCAGAAAGCTGAGTACCACTTGAGGACCGTAAGTTCTGTCCTAGGTGCTATGCAGAGAAAATTACAGAGAACTCCTGTCCAAAAACTTCTGATTCAAGACCACAGTGGTGTGAATGCGGAACTTGTGTGTCAAGCTAAGTACAGTTCGGTAGGAAGGCAGAAATGACCCATCGAGGCATGGTGTAGCCCTGTCCAGACAATACTACCCAGGATGGTTGCTAGGGAGGAGGATTTCATAAACCATTTGTCAGAGAGGAAGCTATCCCCATGTGTTCTATATATGTATTGCTTTTGTTAACCTCATCTGAGGATATTCTTCCATTGATTTTTAGAGAGTGGGAGGGAGGGAGAGAGAGACAGAAACATTGATGTGAGAGAGACACATTGATTGTTTACCTCCAACCGAGGTAACATGCTCTTGACCAGAATCAAACCTGGGATCCTTCAGTCCAAAGGCTGATGCTCTTTCTACTGAGCCAACCAGCTAGGGCTACCCCCATGGGTTCTAAAAAACCTGTGAAACCAGCACTGCCCTCCCCCACCCCCCACCCCGCAAGCAGGATGAAGCCAGCATCTCAGATGATAGCCTGCTCTTTGGATCAGCTCCCCTGTGGCTCTTGGGATGATGGTTGGTAAACGGGAGTGTATGACTCAAGAGTAAGATCCAGGGCTTGAAAATTCAACACACCATGTACTAGGTGAGACTTTGAGCAAGAAACTTAACTGAGCCTTCATTTCTCCACCTGCTGCTAGTGAACAAATACTGAGCCCCCACTCCCTACCAAGTTCTGCTCTAGGTGCTGGGGAATACATTAATAAAGGAACAATAGAGCCGAAACTGGCCTGCGGACTGAAAGGTCCCAGGTTCGATTCCGGTTAAGGGCATTTACCTTGGTTGGGGGCACATCCCCAGTAGGGGGTGTGCAGGAGGCAGCTGATCCATGTCTCTTTCATCGATGTTTCTAACTCCCTAACCCTCTCCCTTTCTGTAAAAAGTTAATAAAATATATTTAAAAGTAAAAAAAAAAAAAAATAGACCTTGGGGAGGTACAGTGAATATAAATAAATAAATAAATAAATAAATAAATAAAGGAACAATAGAAAAATCCCACCTCATGGAGTTAACATCCTAGTGGGGACAATAAAAATATCTAAAATAGATATTAAATGGTGATAGATGTCTTGTAGAGAAACGAGGGCTTGAGGTGTTTGTGTGGGATGGTGGTGGGATTGTAATTTTAAATAGGATGGTCATAAACATCCCCGAAGGTAATGTTTGAACAAAGAGCTGAGAAGTGAGTGGGCGACCTAGGCAGATGTTAAGGGAAGAGGGAACAAGTGTAAAGACCTTGATGTGGGTGCGAGCCTGGTGTGTTTGAGAAATACCAGGCGGCCGGCGTGGCTGGGAAGACAGGAGGCAGTCAGAGTAGAGATGAAGCAGATTTTACAGGACTTTCAGGCCATTGTAGGAACTGGGGAGGGAGGAGAGGGTGGGCTAGTAAGCGGAGTTCTTTGCCTCTGTTGGCCAGAGGAAAAGGATGCTCCAGCGTAGGTGGGGACTTCCAGCCAAGTTTAAGGTGACATGTAGGAGGGCCCAGACTTCAGAAAATGCTCAGACCGAGTCCTGTGTCTCCCAAAGGGTCTGGGGCCGGCAGAATGTTTTATTTGGGGGAACAAATGCCCAAGTCAATAATGGAGCAAAGGGATTGGTTATCCCCTGAATTTCAAAACCTTCCACCTTTGCATGGGTCAAACACACCTGCTGCTTGGAAGGATCTTGCTGGCCTACAAAGCTAGGTGTGGAGACACAGGCCCTCCCGTGTGCCAGGCCCTGGCCAGACACCAGGTATGCTCTGCTGCAACGATTTTCAGCCTCTTTCATCTCGGGGCACACAAACTGAATAACATTCTGTGGCACATCAAAACTATTTTTTTGCTGATCTGACCAAAAAGTGTATAATTCTGATTGATTTACAAAATAATAATAGTAATTATCTACTCTTTTTGCTCCAAAGTGACTTTTTTTAAAAATGGGGGGGGGGGGGGACTGGGGCTGGTTTGGCTCAGTGGATAGTGTCAGCCTGCGGACTGAAGGGTCCCAGGTTCGATTCCGGTCAAGGGCACGTACCTTGGATGCGGGCACATCCCCAGTAGGGGGTGTGCAGGAGGCAGCTGATCAATGTTTTTCTCTCATCATTGTTTCTAACTCTCTCTTTCCTCTCCTTTCCTCTCTGTAAAAAAATCAATAAAATATATTTTTTAAAATAAAATAAAAATATATATATATATTTTTTAAATGGGGGTGGGTAATAAGTAAATAATCAGGGGACTATACTTGTATATAAGAATTTCTGGTGGCAAGAATTAACCAATCACATACAACCTTATTATGCCACATGACTAATAAAATGCAACTCTATTATATGACATGTATTTATGTGTAAGACGTCACACCAGGCAGCTGTTGTGTTGGCTGTTGTCATTTTTTGATGTGACAATCTAAAAGAAAAGAGGTAGTACCCTGAACCAAATCAGTATTGCATGTTTTAAAAATACTTTCAGCAGCACACCAGTTGAAAATTGCTGCCTTCCTGGGACAAACAACATCTGGCTGAGTCCTTGTCACAGCTGTACAGAGGCTGGGGAGGGATTTGCTCAAAATTACACAGCAGGTCACCGTCCTGACCATCCCCAGGTTCTTCCATCAGCTGTCCCTCAGGCATGGGGTGCCATCCTAACGCTCACAATGCGGGGTGTGCCCGATGCAGGTACCCCACTCCTGCCCTCCCTTTTCGGAGTGGAGCCCCTGACCATCCTGCCCAGCCCCAATCCATAAGAAATTAAGCCCAACAATTCACATCCCATCCTGGTTTGTACCCAAGCTGTGGGCTTTTATTTACAGAAAGGCCTGTATGGATCTAGGGGAGGGAGGATGGGAGAAGGTGATGCCAGAAAGAGAAGGGAGTGGGTGTTTAAATACTCAGGAGGGAGGCAGGGAAGAATTAGTAGGGATGGCTTAAGGGTGGCCGCCTCAGGTCGTCCCCTATCGGCAGTCACCCAGTAAGCCCAGGGGTGAATGGGTTAGGGACCAGCAGAGACCTCAGTCCATCTGCCCCAGGGACAAGACGGTCGGTGGAGGATGGCGCAGATTAAGGAGATATTGTTTGGGTAACATCTGAATTACGCTCCAGGAAGAGAAACACCCCATCCTCTGGAGCCTGGACTCTCCAGGGACACTTGTCCGTTGGCCTCACCTTTTCACTCCGATACCCTCCCCTCCCTTCCCTCATGTTCTAGAATTTTCTTTTCTCAAGACTCCTTCCTGGGCCCCAGAGAGAGGTCCTGGGAAAGCTAGTTTCCTGGGCTGAGGGATGGATTGCCTGTCTATCCAGAGGGGACCTATTCCCCCCAGGACGCCTGCTGGGCTATGTCCTGGCTGCTGCTCATGGGCCCTTGATGGACCCGGGCTCTGTGAGGCGGGCAGAGGCGTAGGCGGAGGCTCCGAGGCAGGCTGCGGGCTCACAGAACCCGGGCAGCCCCACAGGGCCGGGCAGGCCGGGCCGGCCTCCCTCTCCAGGGGCTCCTGGGGACCCGCGGTCTCCGTCTTTGCCATTGATGGCCTGGCCAGGCCGGCCAGGGAGTCCTGTGAATGGGAGAAGAGACATCAGGGCTTGCTCCTGTCTCAGCTCTAGAACTGGCCATTTTTCAGATGGGGACCATGAAGCCAGGACACCACAGAAAGAAGGGGCTCTACCCTAGACACATAGATCGAGAGTCACATGTGCTTGTCCATTAATCCCAGCCCCAAACAGTGACTCTTAGGAGTACAGGCCCTTCCTTCCCCTCCATGAAGCAAAGTCCTCAGCTGTCCAGTTCCCAGCCAGACCCCAACTGGAGGCTCCTGGGTGTTCCCATGGGGTGAGGAGCCGGGGTACGGACTGAGGTGGCTGAGCATGAGTCCTCCCCAGAAGAGACCCAGTTGTCTGTGGGTCACTAATCCCAGAGCTGAGGGGCAGAACTGCTGCTGGGCAGGCCAAGGCCTTACCTGGGATCCCTGGGGGCCCGGGCATCCCGGGGTGCCCACGTCCCACGTCTCCCCGGTCACCCTTCTCTCCTCGTTTTCCTGCCGAGAAAGATGGGGCCTTCGTTTTTTTCTACGTTGGTTGCTATTTAACTTACATGTCACACACAGCAATTATTCCTGTTCTGGACTAGTTTACACTAGAGGAAAGTTGGGAATGACTGCAGAACTGGTTAAACAGAGAAAGTCCAAGGATGGAAGACTACAGGGTAGAGCAAAAGTAGGTCTACAGTTATTCATATGGAAAATAAAACAACAAATACTAATACAAGAATAAACTGGCCGAAACCGGTTTGGCTCAGTGGATAGAGCGTCGGCCTGCGGACTCAAGGGTCCCGGGTTCGATACCTTGGTTGTCGGCACATCCCCCGTAGGGGGTGTGCAAGAGGCAACTGGTCGATGATTCTCTCTCATCAATGTTTCTAACTCTCTATCCCTCTCTCTTCCTCTTTATAAAAAGTCAATAAAATATATTTTATAAAAAGAAAGAATAAACTCTGTTTCATGTACTCACAACTGTAAACCTACTTTTGCCTGACCCTACGATGAAGTTCATTGCAGGAGAGGATGGCTGGCATTTCCTGTGTGCTAAGCACTGAACTAAGAGTTCTCTGCGTGTAATCCTCAGAGCAACACGACAGAGTGCTTGCCATGTCACAGAAGCTAACTCTAGGGCATCTGAAAAATGGCAAGATTCACAGGTAACTTATCCAAGAGCCACAAAAAGCCCGTGGCAGAGGCTGGACACACACCCATCTCGGGATTCTCCAGCTTGTCTGCCTCACTGTTTTGTTAATCTGCCTCCCTGCTTTTAGATACATGGAGAGGTGTTTACGGGGTACCACTAAGTAAATTAAAAAAAAAAAAAAAAAAAAACAATCTCCCCAAAAACCCCAAATTATAAATATATTTGTTTCTATCAATTTGCTACGAGAAGGGAAAAAAAAAGTCAGCCTGCCAGACGGGGCCCACCGTGGCCAAGTCCCATCACCAGGCCTCACCCGCACCACCGGGCAGCACTCACCCTTGGGCCCCGTGTTGCCGATCTGACCCACCGCTCCCACGATGCCAGGCACGCCCCGAGGGCCAGGATGCCCATGAGGTCCCTGTTTGCCTGGGTAACCAGGAGGCCCAGGGGGTCCTGGAAGGCCCACCATGCCGGTGGCACCCAGGGCTTCCCTCTTGGCACTCACAGCCACCTCGGCCAGTTGCTCTGGAGGGAGGAGGGAGGGAGGGAGGGAGATGGATGCAGCTCAGAAATACAGGCACCGCCTCAGGACAGCCCCTGGCCACTGGGTGAGCAGACAGAAAGGGGGGTGTCTAACTTCTCTCCTCCAGCCTCCCCCCCCCCCCCCCATTCTGCTGAGGCCCGGCCCGGCCAGGAGCATCTCAGCTCCCAGGCCCTTGGAGGCAGAGCTGCTAGGAGCACCCGGGACCTCAACTCCGAGGCCAGGCCACTGGAGGGGTGCTGGCCTGGCAGGGCCTGCGGGGGGCGCTGCTGGCTGCTCCCCGCACCTTGCAGCATCTTCAGCACCACGTCCACGATGTGCTGGTCACTGGCGTCCCGGCCCTGGACAGAGAAGCCGTTCAGGAGGAGGCCCCCTCCCCCCACCCCCCACCCTTCCTCCCCCCACACCCCCACCCCCGCTGCCAGCGGCCTGCGCCCTGAGGCCCCTCCTGCTGCAGCCACACCCACCCTCCCATGGGGGCTCAGACCAGCCTCAGGGTGTCCGCTTCCTCCAGACCCCCCCCCCCCAGCCCTGGGGACTGAGCCCCCCGGAGATTCCCCCGGAAGCCCCGCGCCGGCCACTCACCGCCACGCCCTGGCGCCCCGGCAGCCCCGGCACCCCGCGGTTCCCGGCCAGTCCTCGGGGGCCCGGGGGGCCGGGGAAGCCCTGCACCCCGGGGGCGCCCGCATCGCCGCTGGGCCCGCGGTAGCCGGCTTCTCCGCGGACTCCTTGCTGCGGGCAGAGGGCGCGGAGCCGGGTGAGAGGGCGCACCGTTAGGGGGGGGGGGGGGTCCCCGCGGCGCCCAGGGGTGCGGGGACGGGTGAGAGGGCGCACCGTTGGGGGGGGGTCCCCGCGGCGCCCAGGGGTGCGGGGACGGGGGGGAGGGCGCACCGTTAGGGGGGGGGGTCCCCGCGGCGCCCAGGGGTGCGGGGACGGGGGGGGGAGGGCGCACCGTTAGGGGGGAGCGGGGGTGCAGAGAAGGGGAAGGGGGCAGCGGAGGAGGGCAGGACTCACCTGTCCCTTGGGCCCCGGCTCGCCAGACTCGCCCTGCGGGCACAAGGAAGCCCTGTCACCCGGCGGGGGAAGGAGGGCCCCGTCACCCCGCTCCCGCCGCCCGCAGCCCTCACCTTCTCGCCTTTCTCTCCGGGGAGGCCGGCCACGCCCGGGTCGCCCTGCAAATGGGGAGCCAGGGGTCTGAGCGGCGGCTGTGACACCCCCACCCGGTCCCCCACGCCGGGCCTGGGGCGCCCCCCAAGCTGGGAAGGGGGCTGGTACTCACCACTCCGCCGCGGGGCCCGGCCTTCCCGGGGGAGCCCTGGGGGAGCGGGGTTCGGGGCTCAGTGAGCTCTCCTCTGGGGGGGGGGGGGGGTACGCGGGCCCCTGCACCCCGAGCCTGGCCGCACCCCGCTCTGCCGCCCCCTCGCCCCGCGGGCCCCTGGGGCCACAGGGAGTCATTTCCCCCGGATTCTTGCTGAGCGCCGGTCCTCCACCCCGGGCAGAGGGCCTCTCTCCCAGGCTGTCCCCACGCCATCGGTACCTTGTCTCCCTTGATGCCTGGCAGGCCTTGCGGTCCCGGAATTCCCGGGGGGCCCTGCTCCCCCTTGGGGCCCTGAGGAGAAAAGCAGCTAGAGGAGTCCATCCAACCAGGTGCCCAGACAGCTCCCCGCTGTCCACCGAGGCGCCTCTCACTCACCTGCCGTCCCTGAGGGCCTGGCTGCCCCACGGGCCCCCTCTCCCCCTGGTCACCCTGAAACAGAAAGGAGGGGTCGCACCCCGCCTGGCAGCACTGGGGGACTCCTCCTGCCGGGCTCCAGGCCAGACCCTGCATGGCCATGGCCAGGTGCCCTCCACCTCTACTGTCACCAGCATGGAAGGCCTTAGCCCCACTTCACAGGCCGGCACACTGAGGCCCCGGGGGAAGCCGCACGCAGGGTGGGCAGGACGGCGCATGTGCTGGGCCATGAGAGAACCCAGACCCTGCATCCAGCAGAGCCGGCAGCAGGGAGGGCGCTGTGCCAGGCACTTACCTTCTGCCCCATGATGCCCTGGGGACCGATCTCTCCTCGAGGCCCCGGCTCTCCCTGGGGGACAGAGAGTGGAGTTACGCAGGCCTGGTGGGCCCTCCCGTTCACACCTGGCGAATGCCCATCCCTGAGTCACAGCTAGTTCGCTTCCTCAGGGAAGCTTCCCCTTCGCCCTGGTCTTTTCCTCTGGTCTCTACTTTTCCTTCAGAGAACTCAACACAATCGTTTAACTAATTTAATGTCTGTCTCTTCTGCTAACAAGCTGTAAGTTCTGTGTGAATAGTATCTCAGCATGGTGCACGGTTGCAGGTATTGGGTGAATGCTTAGGGAATGAATGAATGAATGAATGAATGAATGGTTCCGAGCTGCAGTCAGCTTGGTCACATGAGGAGGTCTTAACCCGGAACAGAACCTGTCTCCATTCCTACTGCGTGCTCCAGAGAGGAGAGGGAGCTTCCGCAGGATGGTGGGCCAGTGGCAGGGCCCCATGCCGGGGTCCCCTCCATGGTCTCACCCGGTCCCCATCAGCTGAGTGCAGGGTCCTCGGGCCTGGGGGCAGGGGACAAAGCAAGAGCCCTTGTGTCAAAGGAGAGGGCGCTCACCTCCTTCCCAGGGGGGCCGGACACTCCGGGGAAGCCCTGCTGGCCTGGCTCGCCCTGTGGGAAAAGTTTAAGGTCAGCCTGGGGGCCCCGCAGGCTCTCGGTCTGGGAGAAGCCCAATGAACCCTAAACAGACTCTGGGACCCAATAAGATGTGGAAGGGAGAGGGTGCTCTTGGTCAGACCCTCAGGAATCCACTGGCTTCCCTGGGTCTCTCCTTTGGACTCAGAGCCATGCCATCCGTCTCCACCGAGCTGAGGTGGGGGGATGGACGGGGGGGATGGACGGGGGGGGGGGGAGATGGACGGGGGGGGGGGGGCGGGGAGCGCTGGGGGGGCAGGAGGAAGTGCTATTTGTGCACAGGCCGAGCCGCTGAGCCTGGGTGAGGCCTGAGCTTGCAGTCTTTAGGAATGCCCTGTTCCCTTCCCCCAGGCTGCCTCCCTCCGATGAAGCCATTCTGCTGCCGGCTTGGGGTTATTCACCTTGTCTCCTGGGCCTCCTTTTGTCCCGGGCTGGCCTGGCACACCCTGCAGAGAAAAGTCACATCAGAGCCCAGCTGGTGTGGTTAGCGGTTGAGCATCGACCCAGGAACCAAGAAGTTGCCAGTTTGATTTGGGCACATGCCCGGGTTTCAGGCTCAGTCCCCAGGATGGGGCGGGCAGGAGGCAGCCAATCAATGATTCTCTCTCACCATCGATGTTTTTACCTCTCTCCCTTCTTTCTGAAATTTATATATATATATATATATATATTTAATTGATTATAAAAAATAATATTTTTAATTGATTTTTTCACAGAAAGGAGGAGAGAAGGATAGAGAGAAACATCAATGAGAGAGAAACATGGATCAGCTGTCTCTTGCACACCCCCTACTGGGGATGTGCCCGCAACCAAGGCACATGACTTGACCGGAATGGAACCTGGGACCTTTCAGTCAGCAGGCCGAAGCTCTGCCACTGAGCCAAACCGGTTTAGGCTTTTTTTTTTTTTTTTTTTTTTTTTAAAGAAAAGCCAAGGCAGTGTTGAGAAGTGGTTGAGAGGCAGGGAGGGCAGGCTGGTCCCATTCTGTGGTTCTTGAAGGCTGAGCTGAGCTGTGAGGGCCAGGATGGTAGCTCTCTGTCCCTGTTTCCCTGCCACTTACTGTACCTGGGGTACCCTTTGGCCATGGAATGACCTTCTGCGAGGCCCTGAGGGCCACGGCAGGGGCTGTGGCAGGGAACGGTCAGAGCCCACTTGGCCGTGGTGGAGGGTTGGAATCGCCAAAGAGAAGCCTGGAGCAATCGCCCAAAGATGAGGCCTCAGCCAGGCCGGAGGCCACAGAGGCGGAGAAGAGGCCCAGGCGGGGTGCGGACAGGACTAGAGCAAGAGCCCGGGGTGCAGATCTGCCCCGCGGGGAGGCGGCAGCAGAGAGCTTGCAGCGGGCGGCCGCCGGCTCCGTCGTACTCACCGCGAGGCCCTGGTGGCCTGGGTTTCCTGGCCGCCCCGCCTGCCCTGCGCTGCCCTGCGGGAGAGACGGCCAGAGACACACCTGAGAGCTCCACCCAGAAGGTCCATGGCTTCCCCCGGAGTGCAGGCAGGGGAACTGAGGCCCGGGGGCAAGCAGGGATGTGTCGGTGACACACCTGCGGGTCTCAGGCCTCCAGGATCCCAGGGAGCGATGGGACTCGGGCCTGAGCCGGGCGGGGCCCTGACCCTTGCCCCAAGCCCTCAGCAGGCCCCACTCCTACCTTCATGCCAGGTATGCCGAGGGCCCCGTCCTTGCCGTCGATGCCTGGGGGACCCTGCTCAGGGGAGAGTGGAAGGAACACTCACCGTGGGGAGGTGCCCGGGGTCAGGCCACCCACCATGTCGCTCTGTGACGGCTGCCGAGTGCAGGGAGGAAGTGGTCTGGTCACCGCATGCAGCCCCATCAGTCAGCCGGGGGAAGGGGATGGACATGGGAGTGGGACCTCGGGGATGGACCACACCCTCCCCCTGTACGGGTGACAAATGTCCTAGATCGCTGCAGGCTTCCCAGGCTCTCCCCGACAGCACTGACGGCTGAAAACACGAAGGCACAGGAAGGGGCATCTCCCGAGGGGACAGAGCCAGGGGGCCGGCGTCCCCGGGGGCTTGGGCGGAGGGGCCTGGAGCCTGCCCTCTGTCCCAGGGGCCTGGGCCACTTACCGCTGCTCCCTTCGGGCCCGTTACTCCCTGGGGCCCTCGAACACCTTGGCTTCCCTGCAAAGCAGACAGAGGTGAGGTCACCTGGGGGTTCTCAGAGGGAACAGCTGGGAGCAGGGGCCGTGCAGGGGCTGGAGCAGAGGAAAGGGGCCTGGGAGTGCCCTCTGGCTCTGGGCCCAGCGGGAGGGAGGGAGGGTAATCCCAGCAGAAGGGGCTGGGCTGGGGGTGGGAGGGAGCCGCACTCGCTGAGACCCTGAGACCCTGGGCTCCGCTATGCACCCGACAACCCAATGCGAAGTGTGGGCTCTGTTTGGGTCTTAATCTGAACGAGAACTCTGAGGAGACATTTCTGACATAACTGGGGGAAATGGAACATAGCTGGCAATGCTACGATGCTTAGGAATACTTGATGATTTTTGCTAGCATGGAATGTTCCTGTGATTATGTGAGAAAAAAAGTGTTTATTTTTAAGATGTATACACAGAAGTACTAGCATTTAGGGGTGAAATGGCATGATGTTAAGGACTTGCTTGAAAATATCAGAGTGAAGCAATAACAAAGTGAAGGAAGGATGACGTGAATTTGGCAAAATGTTAATTTGGGGAGATTATGGGGGATCATTATATCATTCTCTACTTTTGTGTATCTTTTAAAACCTGCATAATTAAAAACTAAAACAGAACAGTGAGCTTTACTTTCTCTTCAACTTTTCTGTAAGCTCAAAACTGCTAAAAAATAAAGTCTATTAATTAAAAAAAAAAAAGTTAAGTGAACTGGGACCCGGACCAATCCCATTAGCCCCATGGCTGATTTGCTGGAATTCAGGTGTCTGGCCCCTGTGGCCACTGGGCCGGTGTATTCCCGGGTGTGTGTGAGGTGTGTGTGGTGTGTGGTGTGTGGTGTGTGGGGGTGTGGGGAAGGGGGGGGTGGGGGGGATGGTGTGTGTGTGGTGTGTGGGGGGACACAACTGAGCTCCTGGCTTCTCCCAAAATCTGAATTTAATCAGAGCCGACTGGGCTCTGGGCACAAACCTCCTTTCCAAACCAGACACTCCCATGCAGACACCAAGAGACACACATACACTACACCACATCACACACACACCTCACACATCACACCACACACACACCACACACCCTACACACCCCCCCACACACACACACCCCCACACACACACCACACACACACACACACACACACCCCACATAGCCCACATCACACACACCACGCACCCCCCAAAACACACACCACACACACCCCCACACACACACCCCACACACCACACACACACACACACACACACACCACACACCACACCCCACACATACACACCACACCACACCACACACACACACCCCACACACACACCACATGCACACACACACACACACACCCCACACACACACACACACGCAGACACCACACACCCTACACATACTACACCACATACACACACACCACACACACACACCACACACACACACCTCACACACCACACCACACACACAGACACCCCCCACACACACACACCACACACCACACACACACACACACCACACACACACACACCTCACACACCACACACCACACACCACACCCCACACACACACCCCACACACACACCACATGCGCACACACACACACACACACCCCACACACACACACACACCACACACACACCACACACCCTACACACACCACACACACTCACCCCCCTACACACACACCCCCCACACACACACACACACCACACACACCACACACACCACACACACACACACACACACACACACACCCCACACACTACACACCACATCACACACACACACACCACACACCCTACACATACCACACACACACACACCACACACACCACACACACACACCACACACACCACACACACACACCACACACACACACCACACACACACCACACACCCTACACACACCACACACACTCACCCCCCTACACACACATCACACACACCACACACACACACCACACACACACACCACACACACACCACACACCCTACACACACCACACACACTCACCCCCCTACACACACACCACACACACCACACACACACACACCACACACACACACACCACACACACCACACACACACACACCACACACACACACACCACACACACACACCCCGGCCGTAGGACTCACCAGGTCGCCCTTCTCCCCGGCGCGGCCTGGGGGCCCCCGCGGGCCCTCCTCGCCCTGCAGGACGGACAGAGGGAGGGAGTTAACGGCGCGGCGGTCAGCGCCCCTGCCCCGGGGACTCCGGGGGACCCTGGGGACCCCACCCGGGGACTCCGGGGGACCCCGCCCTGGGGACTCCGGGGGACCCCGCCCCGGGGACTCCGGGGGACCCCACCCGGGGACTCCGGGGGACCCGCCCTGGGGACTCCGGGGACGTGGGGGAGCGGAGCACACTCACCGGGGCGCCTGCGGAGCCCACCGGGCCCACCATGCCTTTGTAGCCACGAGGACCCTGGGCGGAGGGGGGAGTCAGTCCTGCCCCAGAGGCCGGGGCTGTCGGGCAGCTCTCCAGGACCCCCAGGCCCACTTACCGTCTCTCCCTTGGGCCCCGCCATGCCGGGGTAGCCCCGGGCCCCCTGGGGACCCTGTCAGGAGAGAAGGAGGACAGTGACGGCGGCTGCAAGGCCGCTTCGTGATACTTCTCCGACCCCAGCCCGCCGGCCCAGTGCCCCCTGTGCCGCCTCAGAGGGACCGACCCCAGCCCGGCCGGCCCAGTGCCTCTGTGCCGCCTCAGAGGGACCGACCCCCAGCCCGGCCGGCCCAGTGCCCCCTGTGCCGCCTCACAGGGACCGACCCCCAGCCCGGCCGGCCCAGTGCCCCCTGTGCCGCCTCACAGGGACCGACCCCCAGCCCGCCGGCCCAGTGCCCCCTGTGCCGCCTCACAGGGACCGACCCCCAGCCCGGCCGGCCCAGTGCCCCCTGTGCCGCCTCACAGGGACCGACCCCCAGCCCGGCCGGCCCAGTGCCCCCTGTGCCGCCTCAGAGGGACCGACCCCAGCCCGGCCGGCCCAGTGCCCCCTGTGCCGCCTCACAGGGACCGACCCCAGCCCGCCGGCCCAGTGCCCCCTGTGCCGCCTCAGAGGGACCGACCCCCAGCCCGCCGGCCCAGTCTCCTCTGTGCCGCCTCACAGGGACCGACCCCAGCCCGCCGGCCCAGTGCCCCCTGTGCCGCCTCAGAGGGACCGACCCCCAGCCCGCCGGCCCAGTGCCCTCTGTGCCGCCTCAGAGGGACCGACCCCCAGCCCGGCCGGCCCAGTGCCCCCTGTGCCGCCTCAGAGGGACCGACCCCAGCCCGCCGGCCCAGTGCCCCCTGTGCCGCCTCAGAGGGACCGACCCCAGCCCGCCGGCCCAGTGCCCCCTGTGCCGCCTCAGAGGGACCGACCCCAGCCCGGCCGGCCCAGTGCCCCCTGTGCCGCCTCACAGGGACCGACCCCAGCCCGCCGGCCCAGTGCCCTCTGTGCCGCCTCACAGGGACCGAGGCTCCGAGCGAGGGGGACGGGCGCCAGAGCCACTCAGAGGGGCAGCGGCACCGCCTGGGCCTCCGCCAGTCCGCCGGCCACCGTGCTTCTGCCCCCCCCCTCCCCACCCCCCCTACCCCCGTCCCCGCAGTCAGCGCCACCCCCTCTCCCGGGCACAGGGCCTCCTCCAGGCCACGGAGGTCTCCGAGGACAAGGAGAGGCCGGGGTGCTCCTTACCGGGGGGCCAGGGACGCCTTGCTCTCCGGAAGCACCCACGTCTCCTTTGGGACCCTGAGGGGCAGGATGGAGTGGTCAGAAGGCGGGCAGGTGGGGAGACACGTGTTCAGGCAGCCAAAGGCAGCATCCCTCCCCAGTGCCCATGGCAGGAAGGGCCTTGCCCAGGGGCACACGGACCTAGAGCAGTGTTTCCCGAAGTGTGGTCCGCGCACCCCAGGGGTACGGGAAGAGTTTGGTGGGGATATGCACTGCACCGTGCTCAGCTGCGCCTAATCCTACGTTCTCATGAGTACGAGGGGTACTCAGCGCTACGAAAATTATAGAAGGGGCACACATATGTCAAGAGTTTGGGAAACACGGACCTAGAGCATGGGCCTCCTGCTTCCCAGCTCAAGACTCTGTCCCCAGAGACCACAGAGGAAGGACGGAGGGAGAGGAGGAGGAAGTAGGGTCCTCTCCACACTCCCTCCCATGGCCCTCGGCCCTCACACCTACCGGCTTCCCAAGGCGGCCGGGATCCCCCAGGACCCCGCGCTTCCCAGGATGCCCCTGGAGGAAAAGGGGCAGCTCAGGGTGAGGCCCCCCACACCGGCTCTGCCCTCCCCCGACCAGGGCCAGGCGCTCACCTTCACGCCCTGCAGCCCCTGGGGGCCTTTCACGCCCGCTGGACAGTTGGTTGGACACTGGAAAGAGAATCCCGCCGCCGGGCTCGTGGTCACATCCTGCCTCAGGCCGGCTGGGCGGTGCTTCCCATCCCACCAACTCCCAGACCCTCCTGCCACCCCCTCCCTGCGAAGCCCCTCCCCAACCCCACTGCCCTGTCTCCGGACCGTCCCCTCCCCAACCCCACTGCCCTGTCTCCCTCCCGACCCCTCCCCTCCCCAACCCCACTGCCCTGTCTCCGGACCGTCCCCTCCCCAACCCCACTGCCCTGTCTTCCCACCCATCCCTCCCCAATCCCACTGCCCTGTCTCCCGACCCCTCCCCTCCCCAATCCCACTGCCCTGTCTCCGGACCCATCCCCTCCCCAACCCCACTGCCCTGTCTCCCCACCCCTCCCCTCCCCAACCCCACTGCCCTGTCTCCCCACCCCTCCCCTCCCCAACCCCACTGCCCTGTCTCCCCACCCCTCCCCTCCCCAACCCCACTGCCCTGTCTCCGGACCGTCCCTCTCCACCACGGCCCATCCCAGGGGCCCGCCCCAACGCAGCATTCGCCTGGTCCCGGGCGCCTCTCACCAGGAAGTCCGCGCTGCCTTCCAGGCCCTGGATGGTCCCGGGGCGGCCCTGAGGGGGGATGTGACCGTGAGACCGGACCCCAGCCGGCCCCTCCCAGGCACGCTTCCGGCGCCCTCTCCGGCCGCTGCACACCGCCACGGGGGAGGCCTGAGGACGCTTACCGGTTTCCCGGGGGGCCCCGGGGGCCCTGACGGTCCCTCCGGTCCAGGATCCCCCTGAAGCAAGAGGCCGAATCACACCCCTGTGCCGCCTCCCCTCCCGGTCACCGCCCGCCATCCGGGCTCCTGGGGCTATCGAGGCCCCAGCCCGTGGTCTCCCTGGAAGACCTCACGGGGTGGGCTCAGCAGGAGGGGTTTCTGCCCCAGACCTGCAGGAGCCCCCTGGTGGCCAGAAGCAGGCCCAGGAACTCCCGGAGACACCTGGGTGCGGGCGTGGAGGCAGAGCGGAGGCAGAGGCAGCAGGGGGGGGAGGGGAGGGGAGTGGCTGGGGCTCACCTTGGGGCCTGTGATTCCAATCTCACCAGGGAGGCCAACAGGTCCGGGTGGTCCCTAGGAACAGAGACGTCACTGGCCAGGCTGCCTCAGAGGGTCAGCCCATCCCAGGGGCAAATTACGTAGGGCTTTAAGGACCAGAGAATCCCACAGCCGGTGCATAGGCCCGGAGGGGGCTGGCTCAGAGCTCTCCGGCGAGTCTGCCCGTTCCTGGCAGGAGAGCATGCTGGCCCTGTCTCCCCACCCATCCCTCCCCAACCCCACTGCCCTGTCTCCTCCCCTCCCCTCCCCAACCCCACTGCCCCATGATGGCCTGTCCCCCAGAAGCCCTTCTGTATCATCATCCCCCGGAGTCTCAGGGCCCTGCCCCAGCCCTGAGCACTTACAGGAGGTCCAGCGAAGCCGGGGCCCTAGAACAGAAGGAAAGGAGATGGGATTGACGGCCCCTTCTTCAAACCCCTCCCCCATCCACACAGGGTCGGCGAAGCCTCTGCAGCGGATACTCACCGGCAGGCCGGGGGGACCCGGGAGCCCGGGCTGGCCCTGCAAGAGCAACGGGCGAGGCTCAGAGGCTGGGTCTCCTGGGCCCCTGCTCCTCTCCCCGCAGCCCCTCCCGAACGCGGGCTCTCCCTGCCCATGCCGAGTCCCAGCAGGCCCTTACCTTCACTCCAGGGATGCCGACGGGGCCAGGCTCCCCCTTGGCTCCAGTGAGACCCTGGGAAGAAAGAAGGCAGATCACGGAGGGGCGAACCTGCTCCCTGACCCGTGGGCGGGGCAGGCACAGAGGTCTCTCTCCGGTGGGCCCCGACTGCTTTTCACCCAACTCCTTGAAGGCCCAGGAGCCTCAGCACCTCATTTTCTTTCCTCGGTTCCCACGGTAACCCTAGGGGGTGGGCAGGCAGAAGGAGGATCTTCCTTTTGAAAGATGAGGAACCAAGCCTCAAAGATCCGTTAGCCTGGGCCTCCTGCCTCCCAATTTAGGATCTCGGAGACTTAGATGAAGGTCTGGGATGGTCATCGTCTTCTTTTTATTTCTAAATATAGTATTTTTGTTGATTTCGGAGAGGAAGGGAAGGGAGAGAGGAGAAGGAATTATTGATCGGCTGCCTCCTGCATGCCTCACGCTGGGGATCGAGCCCGCAACCCAGGCAGGTGCCCTGACTGGGAATCAAACCATGATCTCCTGGTTCATAGGTTGATGCTCAACCACTGAGCCATGCCAGCCGGGCTGGAATGGTCACGTTCTCAATGTCTGCCTTTCGCAACTTTTCCTGAGCCTTAATGTTCCATCTGCAAAGTGGATTAATAATCCTGCTTACCTCTGCAGGTGGATGTGTGAGAACTGGTGTGGAAGGCACTGTGCTTTGTAATCTTTGCAAAGATTGGTGAGTTGGAGGAGGCCGGTGGCTGGGCACAGCTCTGATGGGGGGGGGGGTGTCTCCTGGCCAGCAGGGGCCACACAACCTCCTCCCATCTTTCAGTGACTGACCCAAGTGTACTCCCCAACCAGGCGACTACCCCAGTGGCCCTGGCTGTGTCCAGGAGCCAGGGACCTTGGGGCTCCTGGGACTCTGAAATCAGCCACATGACGCTCCTCTCCGGGGCTGCACCCTGAGGGGGTCGGGTGGGGAAGGGAAGAGAGGAGGAGGGGACGGACGGACGGGGTGTGCAGGCCAGCTCTGCGCAGTTTTCAGTCGGACACTTGGAAGCCGGCAATGTGACGCTAACTCCGGCTGCGGCAGAGTCAGTGCTCCTGGGGTCGGGGTGCAGCTCCAGGGAGATGACCAGTCACAGGAATGGGACGGGCCTCATAGCTGTAGAGTCTCATCCTGCCGCTCCGCTCGGAACCAAACGTCAGGGAAGAGGCCAGAGTCAGGCTACTCACGTCAATCCCGGGCTTCCCGTCCGGCCCGTCCGGCCCCGCTTTGCCAGGGTCTCCCTTAGGTCCCTTGGAAACAGATTACGCACATTAGCGAGAGGAGGGCAGGCGCCAGCGGAGCCAAAGATCGAAGGGGAAAACGCACTCACCGGAGGGCCGGCCTTCCCAGGGGGCCCCTTGTCACCCTGCAAGATACAGGCTGGTGAGACAGCAGGCGCTGGCTTATGCCACCCAAGGGGGCACACAGACCCTGGCTGAAGGGTCCACGTGCCTCTCTCTTCACCCTCTTCTCCTCTGTCCTGGATCCCCTCCGCCTTGCACTTTTTAGGAAAATAGCTCCATCTCTATCTCTCAAAAAAATAAATAAATAAATAAATAAAAATAAATGATACATTGATTGAGACCATCCCAGACAGGAGGAGAGGGTGATATCAGCATGGTTTAGACATGCCCATGCTGGCTAGGTGCTGGTGGGAGACTTTGCAAATGGGGTTGTGGGCTCCAAATTACCTGTGGGGAGCCAGTTGGTGCCCCTTGGGTTTGGGCAAGTGCAGGAAGAAACTTTTAGAAAAACACGAAGGGGAGGTGAGTGAAGTAAAGAGATTGGGGTGGGGAAGGGGGCCTCTGAAGGGGCAGATTCAAACTTCCCAAGGCAGGAAGGAGCTCCTTTCCCTGGTGACAAAGGACGCTTGGTGGAGGACAGGCAGGGCCTGGAGTCAGATTCGGCCCCAGAGCGGCCTCCAGGCATCTCGGCGCGGGCAGCAGCCAGAGACCTGGCAGGAGCCCAGGTCGCTGTGTTTGGGGGTGGGGGCACAGACTGAATAGCCATCTGTCCAGATGGGTAAACACGGAGCTAACCTCCTGCGGGAGCTGCTGAATGAGGCTTTAACCCTCCCCGTGCTGGGGAGATCAGCGAGCCAGCCCAGCTGGCTCTAAATCGGGGAAGAAATGCAAAAGGAAGAGACAGGAGTCTGGCCCCAGCTGGTCAGCGGTCTGGCCAAGGCCTCCAAACTGTCCTGAAGCAGCACACAGATGCCAGGGGGCAGGGCCCAGGGGTTCAGGCGTCTCCCGCCTTCCAGAAGAGGGAGAGGCCGGGAAGGGGATCAGGCGTCGCTGTGGGCGGGGGCGGGGGGACAGCCCTGCAGCTCCTGGTCTGAGGGCAGCTGCTCTAACGGGCTCTGCCTCTCCCCGCGGGTTTGAGGTTTTTGCAGAACAAACAGGTCCCTTGTGGGGCGGGCGGCGCCGCCTACTGGCCACAGAGGGCACTGCAGCTCCAGGAGCCCGCCCGTCCCCTCCCCGCGGCCCGCGCTCACAAAGTCCCGCTTTGTCCGCCGCCCTCCCGCCGCGGCCCCGGGTTCGGAGACTCACGTCGATGCCGTCGGATCCCGGCATCCCCGGCGGCCCCGGGGGGCCCGGGGGGCCCCGCTCTCCGGGCGGACCTCTCTGGAAACACACACGGGGGTGCAGCCTTCAGACGGCGCGGGGAGCGGGGCGTCCGGGGGCGCACCCCTCCCCCGGAGAGAATTCCGCAGGGAGCGGCAGACCTCCCCTTTCTGAGAACCCGTGCCCCACACAGAGCACCTGACGGAAAGCTCGGGCCGCAGCTGGGGAACAGACTCGGGGAGAAGATGAACAATGACCCCAGGGGGAAGCGGGGCGCCGGGATGCCCCTGCGAGGTCTGGGGAGGAGCCGATGGGAACCTGGTGGCTCAAGTCAGCCCCAGACGGAACAGGGAAGGCCGCTGGTGGTGTGTTCAGATGGCCAGCAGGTCCGGGAGCTGAGTAGGTGCCCTCTGCCCTCCCCGGTGAGGGTAAGCCCGAGGGGAGAGCAGGAGAGGCTGGGACGGGGGGGGGGCTGTTCTCTTCTCCCACCCAAAGCGCCCCTCTCCCCACACCGCCCCCCTATCTCCTCCATCCTCCCGGGGGGCAGCCCCGACCCAGGCCGGGCTCCGCGCTGCCGGTGCCCGCCTTCCCTGCGCTGGAGCCCGCGGGGGCCCCGAACACCCAGGCGCCAGGGGCGTCCGGGCGCTGCAGACCCGGATGCCCTCGGAAGTCGCGGGGCGGGGGCCGGGGGCTGGGGGGGGGGGGCGTCAGTTTGGAGCCGGCGCCCCGGGAGGCGGCGGGGCTGGGGCTCCGGAGCCCCGTGAATGGGCCCATTGTCCCCGCCACCTGGACCCGGCGCCAGCTCCGTCCCCGGTGCGGTCCCCGCAGGGCGAGCATCCCGGGCCAGGTCCCCCTGGCTCCCCGGCTCCCCACCCGGCCCCGGCGCGGGGTGCCCGGTGGGTACCCACCGAGGGACCCGTGTCCGGGGGTACAGGGGGGGCAGGGGGGAGGGGGCGGCAGAGCCCTGTATGGACTCCAGCCCGGACCCTGGACGCCGCACCCGGACCCCGGCCCGGCGGGGGCGGCCGTGGACTTACGATCTGCGCCAGGGCGAGCCCGAGCGCCTGGAGCAGGACGAGGAGGCCGCGGGGGGCGGCCATGGCGGCTCCGACGGCTGAGGCTGAGGCTGAGGCTGCGCTCCGGCTGCTCTGGGCGCGGCGAGCCCGGACCCCAATAAGCGGCGGGGCGGGGGCTGCGGGCTGTCACCTGAGAGGACCGGGAGGCAGGCCCCTGCCCTCCGCCCAGCTCCGCCCCGCGGCCCGCCGCCAGCGCCCACCTCCGTCCGCCCGGCTTCCCCAGCCCCCCAGCCCCCAGCCCCGCCTGTAACGTGAGCAGCGGCCTCTCGCGGGGGGGGGGGGGGGCGGAGGGCCGTCCAGGGGCCCCTCCGGCCTGACCTCCGGGCCCCGCACCTCCGGGCTGGCCCGCGCCCCCGCCCATCACTGGCCCACGGCCCCCGCCCCTGCCGCCTGAGGCCTGGGCCGGTCCCCCCTCCAGCCCGAGGGGCCTCCGGACCTCTCAGCACAGCTGCCCAGCGCCTTCCACACACAAGCAGCCCTCTTTCACATGGAAATACCCCGAAGCCCTAACTGGGGCCGCCAGCCTGAGCACACCCCACCTGCCTCCTCCCCCTTGCTGACAGAGAATTCTTTACTGGAGTGGTCTGCCACCCACCCCCAAACTTCCTCCTCTCCCCCCCGCTGCTTCTGCCTCAGCGGGGAGTCCAGGCCTTCGCCCTTCTGTCCTGGACTCTTCTCCGTCCAGGCGTCCACGCCTGCCCCTCTCCGCTCGCCTTTTCTCCCCCGCAGCTCCCTTAAGCACCGGAGTCTCGGGTTGGGCCTTCTCACTCGCCAGGCGTGATCTCCCCCAGGTTCACGGAGACAACCACCACCTCCTAAGCCAGTTTCCAGAGCCCACCCGTCCAGCAGAGCCTCTCTCCGGAGTCCCTTCCCTTCCCTCTCCTCAACTTACGCAATGTTGATCAAGTGCTCAGGACTCCCACTCTGTTACTCACTGTACGTCTAACCACCAGCACTTAACGCTGTTGGAAGTCTCCGTTTCCTCATCTGGAGAAGGGAATGGCTAGAGTCCCTATCTCACAACAGAGTCTGGGTAAAGCCTGGATAAGATTCTGCATGTGGAATGTTAATCTAGCATTATTTTAGCTTTCATTGTGATTTGCTGAGGATCTTCTGTTTACCAGGCTTGCATCCCGTGTGGGGAAGATGGCCACAAGCAGGTCGGCCAACATAATCCAGGAGAATATCCTCTGGAACCTAGGAAAGCCCAACGCCAGGGAACATGTTGGCAAAGGCCCCTGGGTTTTAAAGGCTGTTGCTGGAGCTGAGTTCGGGAAAATAGGCTTGAGAGGATTTCATTGATCTGCCTTGTAACGTGAGGAAGAATTTGGGATTAGTAGGAAGAGAGATAACGGGAGGAGGTGGGAGAGGGACGATGGGCATTGCCTAGGATGGGTGGGGTAATACATGTCAAGAATGTCTAAGAAATAGGATGTTCAAAGTTGTTGTTTTTTTTATTTTTATTGATTTTTTACAGAGAGGAAGTGAGAGGGAGAGTTAGAAACGTCGATGAGAGAGAATCATCTATCAGCTGCCTCTTGCACACCCCCCACTGGGGATGCGCCTGCAACCAAGGCACATGCCCTTGACTGGAATCGAACCCGGGTCCCTTCAGTCCGCAGGCCCGCTCTATCCACTGAGCCAAACCGGTTTCGGCAAAGTTGTTGGTTTTATATTACCCATTTCTTCATCTCTTTGGGGCTAAACACACAAAGGCCTTGTGTGAGTTTCCTGGTTGTGTGGAAACGATGGGACGGGGATACCCGTTGTCTGTTGCAGTGCAGCAAATCACCTAAGAACACAGTGGCTTAGGATGACGATTTATTGGGTCAGGAACTCAGGAATGGGTCTGCTGATTCTTTCTAACCCAGGAATCTGTTAGGAGGGTGCAGACAGACGGTGGCTGGGGTTGGCATCATCTAGAAGACTTCTTCACCCACATGCCTGGTGCCTGTACTACAAGGTGAGCAGAGGTCCCGCTTTTGGCGAGACAGTCCCGATTTTTGTTTTAAAAATCGGGACTGTCCCGCCAAAAGCGGCATGTCTGCTCATCTTACTGTACTGGGAAGCCTCCACCAGCTGGGCCTGGAGCAGCCGGAATTTCCTGGGCAGCTCTCTGTCTCTCCTCCATGTCTTGTTGGGCTTTTCATGAAGTGTCATCAGCATGGGAGCTGAACTCCTCACACAGCAAATCAGAGAGAGAGAGGGAGAACATCAGACAGACACAGAATTGCCTCTTAGGGCCTCGTCTCAAAAGTCACACCGCATCCGTGTCACCTCTTTCTTTCGGTCCAGGCAATTACAGAAGTCTGCGGAGGCTCAAAGGGAAGCAACAGAGATCTCCCCTCTTGATGGACAAGCATCAATAGGACATTTCAAGAAGCGCTTGGAGAATGGGACTTACCTTGGTGCAGCTCTCTTTGGAAAATACAGCCTATCCCACGTGGGCTTATACCCTGCATTGATTCAATGGAAGCTGGAACTCAAAGCCAGAGCTGACTAAGAGAAACGTTAGGGGAGGCTTTGGGACCCCCGGAAGTACATACCGCTCTTCAGGAGCAGGGAGACCTGAATAAACAGTCATCTATCCACATTCCTGGATAGGAAGACTCAATGTTGCAAAAATGTGAGATTAATCTATAAACTCCATGCAATCCCATTCAAAATCAATGCAGTTTTGATGAAACTTGACAAGCTGATTCTAAAGAGAAACTAGGAGAAAAACACAGCATGAAAATAGCCAAGAAGTGTTGGGGGCAGGGGGGTGGAGTGAGCCTTAGCTGGTTTGGCTCAGTGGATAGAGCATCAGTTTGCGGACTGAAGGGTTTCAGGTTCAATTCAGTTCTTGTCTCTCTCACATCGATGTTTCCCTTTGTCTCTCCTCTCCCCTCCATTCTCTCTAAAAATCAATGGGAAAATATCCTCAGGTGAGAATTAACAAACAAACAAAAAGAGAGAGAGAAAGGTCTTTCCCTATGAGCGATTAAAACATGGCACAAAAACAACCCCTCCAGCCGAAACCAGTTTGGCTCAGTGGATAGAGCATCGGCCTTGGACTGCAAGGTCCCAGGTTTGATTCCAGTCAAGGGCAGGTACCTTGGCTATGGGTACATCCCCAGTGGGAGGTGTGCAGGAGGCAGCTGATCAATGTTTCTAGCTCTCTATCCCTCTCCCTTCCTCTCTGTGAAAAATATAAAACATATATTTTTAAAAAACACCTCCCCCCAAAAAATAGCATAGTACAAAATTAATTATTCAAAGGTGTTTTACCAGCCCAGAAACAGATTTTTAAAAAGAGAGACAGATAAGAAACACACACATTTTTTCAGATATATTTAATCTATGATAAAAGTTTATATATTTCGCCGAAACCGGTTTAGCTCAGTGGATAGAGCGTAGGCCTGCGGACTGAGGGGTTCTGGGTTTGATTTCGGTCAAGGGTATGTACCTTGGCTGCAGGCACATCCCCGGTGGGAGGTATGCAGGAGGCAGCTGGTCGATGTTTCTCTCTCATTGACGTTTCTGGCTCTCTATCCCTCTTCCTTCCTCTCTGTAAAAAATCAATAAAATATATTTTTTTAAAAAGTTTATATATTTCATTCATGATAAAGGTCAAATTTAAAGTAAATGAGAAAGGGGTAGACCAGTTAATGAATGTTGAGGCACCTGTATAACCTAATAAAGAGGGAATATCCTATTGGCCCTCACGTCATCGAAAAGATGGCAGTACCCACAGCCAATAAGGAGAGAATATGCTAATGGACTGTCCCACCCTCAGATATGGCAGCACTCACAACCAATAAGGAGGGAATATGCTAACTGACTGCCACACCCTCAAAGATGGTGGTGCCCACAGCCACAAGATGGCGGCACCTGGTCCCCTCAGCCCCGCCGGGGTCCCAGGCGGGCCCGGATGCTCTGTGCGCCTACCCCCAGAGTCTCCAGTCCTCTTAGCCACCTTCAGCTGCCCAGGGCCACCGGAGGCTCAGATAACCAGGGTTAGCCGAGGCTTGCGCTGCCGGCAGTGGCAGCAGTAGAGGTGTGATGGGGCATCGCCTGCCTTTGATTGCTGGGTCATCTCCTGCCCCTGACGGCTCCTGGGCTGTGAGAGGGGGCAGACCAGGCTGAGGGACCCCCACTCCAGTGCATGAATTTTTATGCACTGGGCCTCTCGTATACTCAGAAAAATTAAAGTGAGATTTCTACATCAGCATACAAAACATGTATCTCTGGACAAATGAATTGTGGGCCCAAATATAAAAATAACAAACTATAAAAATCTAAAGGAAATTAAAAAAAATAATGTTGTGGTAAGGATAACTTTCCTGAGCAATACACAAAACCATGAAAAAAAAAATGTTTAAATTTGACTTCATAATACTTTATTTAATCCTCACCTAAGGATATTTTTCCATTGGTTTTAGAGAGAGTGGAAGAGAGGGGAGCATCAGAGAGATAGACACATCAATGTGAGAGACACGTAGATGGTCTGCCTCCTGCATGCCCCCTACTGGAGATTGAGCCCAAAACCCATGCATGTGCTCTGACCAGGAATCTAACCATTATCTCCTGGTTCACGGGTCTACACTCAACTTCAGAATTATACCAGCTGGGCTCTGCTCTTGTCTTTCCACCTATCATGGTAATTACTCTGCAAGAAAAAGCCTGAAGATGTGGGCCCAAGAAGCCAGTCCTGGACCAGAGAGAAGATTGACACCACACCCTGCAAATCCTCTCTCTCCTGAAGAATGGGCGGAGCCTGGAAGCATCCTCCCTTCAGCCTAGAACAAAACGGAGCAGGGAAGAGAAAAGTCCTATTTCCATCTCATCCAAACTAACTCAAAACTTATTTTCTTTCTTTCAATAAAAGTTTAAATCTTAATCATAGAGATAGTTCATGTTTAAGCTGAGACTGAGTCTGTCTGATTCATTGCTGTGCTCCCAAACTGCAGATGGCCACAGATTTCTGCGTCAGCAAGTGACAAGTCACTGAATCAAACCCTGACATGCATGGGATCTGCAGG